TAAAAAATTATTGTTGTTGGAGTATGATACCCAACATTTGCAGCCCATCATTATTTTTGGTTCTTCATAGTTTACAACTTTTAACCTTAGCTCTCCCTTAGTTAATAACATTTTTTTAAAAATAGGTGAGCCGAGCCGAAACACCTATTTTCGGCCCGGTTTCTACAATCGAAGTATTTATTGAGTTATTTGGTAATTTAATTGTGAAATACTAATGGAATGTGGCGAATGGTGTGATAGGAGACAAAGCCCGACAACGTAGGAAGCAGCTCTCAAGGAACGGGAGCTTACGTTTAGTTAATTAGGGAGTACTTTGGCCAAGGCCAACAAAGTGGCTTTACTATAGAATAGATTAAAGATTGTATGAATTATGATGATGTATGAGTATGACGTTGTGCTGTGATGTATGTCATATGTATGTTATTTATGTTTTGATGCATGACGTACATGTTGTATTTGATGCACTTAATGACTTTTATGATGAGTATGATGTATGCATGACGATGTTATTAACATGATGATATTTTCTATGTTGAACATGCTTTAAGATGTTGTATGTCATATTACATTACGTCTTTAGATCAGCAAAGGACACAACCCTAAGAGTATGAAAATGATATTAATGTAAATATCCACGAGCACGTGTTATACAGTGTAACAAAGAGATAAGACTAGAGGGTTGTGTCAAAAGAGACATATAATTGGATTTAGAGGAACCTCATGAATATTGTATGTTCATAAGCATAGGGCTCCTACTTCCCCTAAAGATGATGAGTGCAGACACGCACAATACGATGATGAGTGCGAATACACATCATATGATGATGAGGGTGTTCATGAGGCGCATTACACTATAGGGTTCCGCTAACCTCCAAACGTCACTACAAATTAGCTTGACCAGAGGGTCCAGGGGTGTGCGAGCGCCCCGGATATTCACACTCGCACATGTGAGTCGTGTGTAGGGAAGTACTACACATCTAATTTGTCCGAGACTGGAGGCCACCCCTATGATGTTAGAGATGGGTCCCTAAATCATGATTGCACGTGTTTGCATTTGTATGGCCCCCTATAGTGAGGCCAGTTATTGAGTATTCTTCGAAATACTCAGGTCGTATGCCACATTATTTTTTAGGTAAAGGCAAGGCGTACTTGTACGAAGGACGGCGGCGCCGCGAGCAGAGAATGTGACACATGCATAGGGTAGACTCATTTAAATTCGCCTTAGGTTAGAATAGGTTGTTTTGCATTTCATCGTTTTAAATTATTTTGTATATGTTTTTATTTTCTCTAAATTTCAGTATTTCGTATTTAAACACGCAAGACCATAACTGTGTTTTATAGAGAAGAAGTTATTTTAAGTGTTTTCGAAGTTTATGTTATAAATGACATTCAAGTTACATTTCTGCATTAGAGATGAGCATGATACGTTAGTAGCGACTCTGAGTATGTGAAAATTTAAGATCGTTTAGTGTTCTTTCCCATATTACTAAGATAATATGAAAAGATTAGTGTTCTATCTTATGTTTATTAAAGAAATATGATATTATTTTCCCCTCAAAGTTGAACTTACACCAAGCTATTGATGCTGGTTAAGTATTTGAAAGTGATAATCAAACAAATGTTCATTAGCTAAGTTGTGAAAAACATGTACCAAGGGGGTGGTTATCCTAAAGAAGGCATTAATGGAGACACCCATAACACTGGTGAGTGCATCCCATTAGTATATTAATTTGAAGAAGTGTAAGGGTGGTGTTTCACAAATATAGGGGGAGACAAGATATGGTAAGATCTTAAGAAATACTTGATCGGTCAACAAGTGAAAGTCATGTGATAAATGCTCGATGACGCTCAAGGACAATAGAGTTCTCTGTTAAGCACATTAGTATGTACTAATAAGAAATGACATGAGATACTAACTAAAGCTCATACTACACATATTTTTATGCATCCAAATGGCATTAAGATGTACTAAGATGTGAACCAATATTTTTAGAAATGCAAAATGAAGAAAGATATAGTAGAATTTATGAGCAAATATTTGATTTGCCAATAGGTCCAAGGCACTTTAGGTCAAGGCACTTTAACGGAGTTGTTGCAACCTCAAGAGTGTTCTTGAGTGGAAATAAAAAAAAAATAGTAATGGATTTCATCGTGGGTCTACCAAGAACTTAGAAAGGATATATGAAAATTGAGTGATCATTTATAAACTTACTAAGTTCGCACACTTCTTGACAGGAAAAGATACATATACTTTATATAATTGGTCCTAACTATATATGAAGGATATTGTTAGAGTGCATAGAGTGGAGTATCGTTGCAGCCAAATCGAGAACCACGTTTCACGTTCAATTTCTAGATAGTTTTTAGAAAACGTTAGGCACTCAAATTGATTTTAACACTATTTTTCACCCACAAATAGATGGACAGATCAAATATCTAAATCAAATGTTAGAAGATACGCGTTTTAGATTTTTCAAGTAGTTTGAGAATCCAAGTTGCACCTCATGAAATTCGTATATAGTAATACTTTTAAGTAACCACATGAAACCATTCGAGACTTTGTATGGGTAACGATGCAAGTCATCAATATATTGGGCTGAAGTAGGTGAACACGAGTTCTTAGGATCAAAATTGGCTCGAGCTACCTGTAGCGACCCAAAATTTTCTATTTAATTTAAGGTCGCTACTGTATCTATATCATAAACATTGAATGCGAAAATACTTCATTTAAACTTCATAAAACATAACCCGAAAATAATACGACTTCATAAAACATAAAACATAACACTTCAGCTTAAAACACTGTCATGGACTTACGTGTTTGAAAACACTTTAAAAAATGACACAATAAAAGACTAAATAAAATAAATAAACGTTTAAATCAAAGACATCCTATTTTAGCCTAAGTCTAAGAAAATAATACGACTACCCCCTATGCATGTGTCATGGTCTTGAGTTGCGATGTCGTCGTCAACCGTACAGGAGTGTCTTACCTTAACCTAAAATAGAGGTAGCATGTGGCTTGAGTATTTTAAGAAATACTCAGTAAGTGACCCCACTATTGGAGGTGAAATGCAAGAACATGTGAATGCAATAACGGGACCTATCATATTAGTCTATTTTTCCTACGGCACTATTTTAATGGGCAGCTTTGATGTGTACCATATACCATATCAATCCCCAATTTGTTTAGGTGAGTTGCACTACAAGTGTGCCGATTCTGAAACTATGGGATAAAGTGCAAATCGATAGAAAAGAGGAAACGAATGGTTTTCTACTCTGTCAACTCTTGAACGCTGGGTGAGTCGTACCAAAAGTGGGACATTCTAGATCTACGGGGATGACAAGTAGAATTTCTAATGTAAGAACTTATTAACCCTATAAATAAAATAAAAATAAAAGAATTAAAATGAAAATAAAGTCAGCTAAAATGCCATTATTTTCAATGATGATGAGAGGATGCATATCAAGTTAAGATTCGAGAAGTAAGGATCATCTAAGGATTAACGACCTGTATCATTAACGTGGTTGTGGGCAAATCTAGTGGAGGAAAGAAGCTGAATTAAGATGTTTTTGTGAATAGAGAAAAAAGTAATCCAATAGAATAAGACATGACTAAAAATCTAGGGGGACAGTAAGTGTATGCAAAAATTCTACGTAGTACATATTATTTGCGGCTCGGTTTTTGCATCTTACTTCGCTCTAAGTGGGTTCTCGGTTGCGAGAAATCAAATTTGTACAGCAGAGAGTAAACATTTCAAGCAACATATATTATTCGATACAACCTCGTTTTAGTTACATGAGTACTCGTTTTTATACGTTTTTTCACTATTTATACAATCGTGGTTACGAACAAACATAGTCAGTGAATCGAGACTTTTAATAATTTAAATATTACCTTGAGCTAAGTTGAAACTTAAAAACGTCGTAACTTAAATATCTATACAATCATGGTTACGAACAAACACGCTGGTAAGTCGCCTAAAGCGGCTTGACCAACCCTTTATCCCAAAATATGGCCGTTTTGGACTTAAATTTTTACTTACACAATTTTTCTTTCACATTTCAGATTTCAAACTAGTACTTTCGGGCTCTATGATAATTCGAATTTTTGTGTTTTTTTTAACGTATATGAATCAGTCATAACATATAGACATGGATGCATGTAAGTACTTAAAATGGCTTATTTAATTCTTTACTTCTATTCTTATTCATATTTATATACTTATTCAATAAATAAATAAATAACTATAAAAAAAAATGTAGAGTACATAAATAAATACATATATTTGATGGCACCCAACATCAAAAGCACACACGAACACTTCTCAAATGGTCCAGGTTTAACTGCGGAGTTCTGATGGGATTCGGTGTATTAATGTTGATATGATCATATCTGACATGGAATGTGCACAAATTGCTTTTAATGCATGTGGGCGGCATGATTCGGGCGACGGAACACACACACACGTGCTTGGAACGGCCGACGAGGCCCATGCGGTCACGAGAAAACGTGATGGGCGTGAACGTACGAGCGGAGGTGGTTGCCATTTGGTAAGAAAGGAAGAAAAAAACAGGGAGAAATTAAAATGACGAGTACACAAAATAAAATAGAAATAAAAAGGAGTGTTGCCTCCCAAGTGGTTATCCAACTTAATACTACTACTCTCGTCAACTTAATACTACTACTCTCGCCCAAGTACGCTTAGAGTTCTGATGAGATCCGATGCATTAATGCTAGTATGATTGCACCCGACATTGAATGCACACAAATTAGATTTAACGCATGTAGACAGCATGATCCAAGCGACAGTGCATGCATGCACATTCTTGGAATGGCCGACGGGATCCACACAGACATCTCAGGGAGAGAAAACACGATAGACATGAGCGTACGAGCAGAGGAGGAAAAAAAGAACGCAATACGATTAAAAAAACTAATAAAAAGGGGTGCAGGAAGATTTTCTTTCATTAGCAAAGGAAACCAAATTTATAATTTATTCCAAAATTTGAAATTCAACTACCTCCATTAAATATAATTGAATATTACCTGAAACAATAATTTTAACGGCCACATTCACTAATGGGCAGACCAACATCGCCGACCCGAGAAACTCGATCTCAAACACGAAGCTGTGCGTCCATGGCGGACTACGGAAATCAAACGCCGAATCAGATTAAAAATCAGTATGATCAACTCAACAACCGCCGCTCCATACCTAAGGAATCAGCTCTTGAAGCCTTGAACACCATAATCCATCTACATTTCGAGAAAGCCCTAGAAAAGAAGCGCTCAATCGATCTCCAAAAGAAGGAGCTCCACAACCAATTCCAGCTCTTCTTTATCTTTTTAGCTCTCATTTTCCTCACTCAATCGCAATCTCGGCTACAGTGCCGGCATTGCTGGATCCCGATCGCTCTCCTAACCTTAGCGCATTTGGCCTTCTACGTATCCGTGGCTCACACACTGCGATGCATCAACGGATTCAAGTACCAAAGGCGATGCCACAAGCTGACTCTGGGATTGGCGACGGAGAAGCTTAGGGAGATGAAGATGAGTAGCAGCGACGGAGACATGGAGGAAGAGGAGTTGGAGATTCCGCACCAGGAGCCTCCTGAGATTTACTTTGGTAAGTTCAAGAGGAATTGGGCGCTGTATTTTGGGTTCTTGGTGTTCATCTATGGATTTATGGTGGCTTCCTCTGTTTCTCTTCTCTGTTTCTGATGATGATTTGATCTGAATTCTGTTATGATACCTCCAATCTAACTCAACCGAGGCTTCCAAATCTCTTTGGATGATACTAAATTTTAGGTATGTAATCGTCATGACTTGAACCCATTACCAATAAACCCCCTTTATTCTTTACATTAACATTAATTCTCCGACCAACCATTTTATCTTTCTAACATTCAACAAATTCTTCATCCTGTTAATGAACAATTTAGAATAAAGCTAAAGATGTAAACACAAGAGTTGGAGTATCCTCAACGAATGCAATGGATCAGTGCTCTATAGGTGACAAAGGAAGAAGGAAGGAATTACCTTCTTACTACAAAAATGCATCCATTATTCCTTCCACTCCTCTTTCCATCAAACTAAGAGGGAGCGGATTTTGAATCGAATTATAGAGACTATATTTATAACCCTCTCTACATAAATTATATTTCAAAAACCTTAAATCATTTCGAATTGTTACAAGTTAGAACACACCTGCAGCAGCTTAACCTGGAGAGAGTGCGCAGCACAGGGATTTGTATGCATTAACACAGAGTTTGAATTTCTCTTCAGCCATTGCCTGAAACCACGCAACCCAAACTACGGTCAATCAAATGGGTAACTCATTAGCTTTGTTCAGACTGAAAATATTATTCCAAACTCACCTTGGAAGATCTCTGATGCTTATCAGGATGCCATTTTAAAGCAGACGAGCGGAACCTGCAAGAGGATGGGGATGACTGTAAGATGAACAAATAATAAGTGGGTTCGAGTTGAATCGAGTGGAAAGACTAATCAACTTACGCTGCTTTAACTTCTTCAATCTTTAAAGGACCTGTCTTTGGTAACCCCAGAATAGTTCTATCTGAACATGATCCTACATCAGCGGTCTCCTCATCAGACTCACAATCACTTGAATTCTCCCATTCAGTACCTCTTTGGTTCTTCCAGTTAGGAGGAGACTCTGTCCACTCAAAACCAGATGCTGAATTTTGAAAGGAATCCTTACGTGTGTCAAAGGACCATGTATATGATCTATTGCCAAATGTGGCGTGAAAGATTGTCTCCGGATCATTGTCGAAGTCATTAACGAAACTCTCTCTTCTAAACTTACCTGAAGAAAAATACAGTGTGTTCAAAATCACACATTCGCATCCCCGTGAAATTTATCAAAAGGAAATAACATATATAATGAAAATGAAATAACAGTAGGCAATGCGAACTGACGTTTTGATCTCTTGTGCTGGGATTTCCCAAAATTTCGCGTAGATGACTTTGCTCGTCCTTTCTTATCACAGCTGCCCGGTTGATCGAATGACTCATCAGAAGACCAGCGATCACCAAGACTCCATTTTGATTCCTTGTTCTATTGAATAAGGCATGAACCAAATAAAAATATATAGTCATGGGCCTATGTGTTTTGTTGTTCCTTAGATTTAAAAGTTATGTACATAACAAGAATATAAGAGCTCCACTCATTGCATCATGCTCATATCCACCCGTACTAATCTTTAGGAAGGCTTTGTCTAACCCAAGGCTAACTCTCAGAGAGGACAAGAATGTTCAGTTATTATGGTTTCAACCAAAGGACTTAAATGTGGGATCTTGGAAGGTATTTTCAAACATCCAACTCCCGACCTCCTACCCAGGGAAGAACTCATTCAACCCCTGCGTCAAATAGATGGCATCCAACACATTCTATGGCATCAGCTCTATTCATTTGATTATTATGCATTGAAAGAAAGAAGTGATCAATTCGATTCCTCTAATGTACTATCTTCCCAAGATGCTGTAGTATACGTTAACTCTGAATACAAAGCTGGTGAGCCCCTCACGAAACATCATGATAATAATTATCCAACTTAAATTCTAATTTTTGCAAGTGTACATAAGAATGAATACCTGAAAGGTAGATCCACTGTTGTAGAGGAGGTCCTTTAGAGCCTTTTTTGCATCGGCACGCCTTTGGCGAGTCACATATCTTACATAATTCTGGTATCATCATTTTCAACATTAGAATCATTAAAATAAATAATAAATGACTAATTCGGGTATCATTCAATAAATGTAAGCAATAACATCTAATGCAATTATGCAATGGGATAGACATGCAAGATATTCAAAATGCTGAACCAATCAAAAAGATAAACTCCATCTGGCTCAATGACATCAATCTTGCATTTATAATCTAAGAACAAAGAAAAAATAGTCACCTAATAGATCAACATACCTTTGACGGCTCCTTTCCACTCACACCATCATCCTGCCAAAGTATAGAAAAGGAATTTCTTTTTAAAGAAGTTATAACTTCAGAAAGTATTATGCATTCAGTGGTGCAAATGATCATAGATAAAGTAGATTTATTTCATTTCTTATGATCAAATGTAAATGAAAGCCTTGCTAGATTGTAGACTGATGATCCTCTTCTTGGTTCTCTTGAATGATTATGTTTAATTTTACCAGAACATAACTCGACTAAAACATTCCATTTTAAATTACGACTGAACAATGCACTAGCATCTTATTAAGCAAAAAGTAAAAGAAAAAAAAAAAAAGCAATTCACATGACACGACACAGCCAGAGAAATACCCAACACACATAGAGTGACGTTTTTTTCTTTTAATATCCCTGAATGTCTGAGCTAACTCGCATATAGGATTCATCGAGTGATACTTCATGCTTTTTATGTCTTGGGCCTAAAAATACATCCCAAATAGAAATGTTTACACTTCTTAACGAACAACTGTACCAATTAACTCAATATCACAACTCGTTTGACAACCAATTGAGTTTTAATTTTTGGTTTTTGAAAATTGTGTATATGAGTTTCATCTTTCAAAAGAAAACATTTGAATTCTTAGCCAAACTCCAAAAACAATTTTTTTTTAGTTTTCAAAACATGGGTCTGGTTCTTTGAAACATATGTAAAATTTAGATAGCAAAGCAAGGAAAACCATAGTTGAAAATGGTATTTATAGGGTACTTATATACTTCATGCCAAGGAGAGTAAAGGAGATCATAGATTAAAAACAATCATTTTTATAATCTGTCTCCAGCTCTAATGGTAGATCATTATATCTTGCATTAAAACAATAAAAATAAACTATCCTGTGATAATATCTATGTCCTACACTTATCAAATGAATTCCTGATACAAAGATGCTAACAAGATCAATTGCGAATCAACTCACCACCTAAAAATTCCAACATCAGCATTTCAGCGACAAGATTAAACTATCAAAATTCTATTGATATGCTCACACATGAACTCTTTAGCTTGCAAAAAGCAACACACATAGCTAACAGGTTCATCCACAGAGTTTCAAGCCCAACTATAACTAGGCAATCAAATTCATCCGGGATAATGTAAACTAATAGCTTTGCTTCTATATATAGTTTTGTAAATTTAGGTCCTAATATCATTAGCTCTCTCTCAACAACTGTTGCTTGCCATGTAGAATGCTGCCGGATAAAGCCAGAATAGCTTTTCTGCAACTCAATCAACTAATCAACAGCAAATAACCTTAAAGTCTTTGCAAGTCAAGAAGCATTCAGAGAAGACAACAATGACCAACATTGAATATTCATAAACAAAATGATATGAACAAACAGGAAAATGATGAAAATAGGGCAATTCAAACAGAAAATAAAACAAAAACCAGAACAAAAAGAAAAATTAACTCACGAATTTCCATTTACTCTTCCACTTATCGCAATAGGCTGGCGTGGAGTGGAAAGAGGCGACATGAGTAGCGGCCAAAGTTGACCTAATGAACGAATTTTTAAGAATTAGGGAAGTTCGAAATCTGGGAATTAGCATTGGTAATTGAAAAGGTGAAGCAAAAGGGAAGTGTATTGGCGATCAAGGGAAGTTGAAGTTGTATAATGTTAAATATAGAGTGGAATTGAAGGTTTGAGAAACGATTGGCAGCGGATTTGGCTCTGCGGAGCAGACGCCTTTCCTCGTTCTGCCCTCGGTTATCCCCTGCAAATTCCTTGCTCCAAAGCTTCGCTAAATATGGAAGAAGACACTCATGGGCCGAATTTCTACCAAGCTCGCTGCGCCCTTGGGCCTCTCCCCCGGTACCAATATTTGGGCTAACACCCTAACACTATGAATAACTTGAGCAATAACACTTGGAATATCTATTTGTTTGAACATGAAAATTATAGTATGTAACATTGCTTCAAATTAATTGCGACATGTAATGCGTTGTGTCCGACCAAATCTTACCTAGGGAGTACGTATACGAGCTCGTCTAGTGAGCCCATGTGCGCGTACATGGGTCGTGTGTGAAGAAGTACTATACATCCACCCTCCCCCAATCTGAAAAGAGCCTAAAGTTGCATAATGTTTATAAAAGATAGGTCTCACTCATGTTTGGTATATGATTGCATATCTAACCCCAACAGTCGGGTGACTTAATTTGAATGTTATGTTTGGTCGTGAACGATTAAGGATATTTAGTTTTGAATTATAGTTTACATGTATGTCATATTTGATCTTTTATCACAGGCAAATATCTCCATTACAATTTACCATAGGTATAATGTTTGACCTTTATGATACGCAAGTATCTTGTATCTATTTATTGCTTTTTCCATTTACTTTGTAATTTATTTTATGATTATAAATAGAGAATTTCACTACCGTTTAGGTGTAGTGGTTTTAGCAAATATTCTTATGGTATAAGAGCTCTTTCGATTTAGCAACCCCGATCCTTTGTTTATAATGCCTTTTGAATCTTGTACTCATCTTCTTCTCCACCACCACGGCTGAAGCTGGAGTGGCCGTCTCCATAGCTGCCGTAGGCGGAACCGATTGATTACTCTTCGGCTCCACTCTTTTGGCTTCCAAATCATCCTTTCAGGCTCACCCTTCACCATACTCTGTACATACAACCTTACCTTCTCCAACACAATCAATCTCTCCTTGAACTAGAAATCTCTTCATCCTCTACCTCGACAACTAAAACTTCCCTTCCATCTTCCACTTTCGTCGTTCTTCTTTCTTCTCATTGCATTCTTCACGGCTATGGCTTCCTCTTCTGCTTTTGTCTTCATTATCCTTGTCGCTTTAATCACTGACTCTTTGAGCCAGGTCCTGAGTGCCGCACTGGCCTCTTCGCCAACCAAGTCGCCGCCAGCCTC